AAGTTGATAAAGTTTTCTATTCTATAGAGGAGCTCTGGTGATGTAGTGTTCATTGGGCTGCAATCCCTTGGGCCAGCAGTTCAAAACCAGCAGCAGCTCCGCTGAAGAAACACTGGGCTTTCTTACTCTGGTAAACAGTCTCAGACACCCACAGTGGGGGTCACTATGAGTCAGGGACGATGGCATTCAGGTAGTTTCTTGGTTTATTCTACAGAACCCTTTTGTTCCCTCCTGCAAATTGGAAATCTAATTTCTCTATTTCTAGTCTTGAGAAAGTATCTTTAAATTTTCCACACATATGCTTTACCATCAAACTTGTCTAACAAATTCGAAATTGTTCACTATCGCAGTCCTCCTCCTAAACCAATCAGTGATATGGACTGGTTTAGCCCTTTGAATATTCACCTCATCTTAGCATTGTTATCTAAGGCAGTATTTCTCAAACTCCAGTGACAGGGCCTGTTGCTTGGTTGCTTGCTTTATTTATTTGCTTACTTTTTCAACCCATTGTGAACTGAGACTCTTATATTCAACAAAAAAAGTTACCATAATGTCCAGTTGGAAAATGTCTATTGTCCACTCATTCATTCTAATGTCCATTCATTAGAAAAATGAATGGGAAACAGCAAGCACATTGAAGATCCGTTTCTCCTGCATTTATTGTTGCTGATGAGAAGACTGCTGTCAGTCTAAATTTGCAGGTACTATTTCTTTTCTCTCTGGTAGCTTTTAAGACATCCTCTTTTGAGATGACCCTTAAGGTTCTGCAGTTTCTCTAAGGGGTCTTTTTTCAATCTCCTTTTATTACAGAAAAAGTTCCACCTCAGGTGTTAGGCTCTCTATGCCCCTAGGAGCCCATTTCCAGCAACCCTTCCTGCTTCTGCCTACCTCTGTACACTTCCATTTCACAGATGCATGCTATCTTGTTCTCTATTTGTTTATTTTGGCCAAGCTATTTCAGTCCTTGGTGTCATACCTGGAATGTGCTCAGCTCCTAGCCTGAGGTCCACAATCTGAACCCACCCAGTAGTGCCGTGAGAGATAACATGGGAAGAGGAGGAGGAGGAGGAGGAGGAGCATGGCTGTCTGCTTCCACAGAGATTACAACAAAGAACCCCTTCCAGACAGTGATACAGAGTTTATCTGACTTTATCACCCACGGCTCTTTGTATGGCACACAGTGCACGCTTACCATTCCATCTGCACTGCAACGCCTGTTTCTGGCCTTTTAACAAAAGCTATAGGAATGCTTTCTAAGAATTGGCCTGTATTGCTTATTCCCACAGGCTATACAGCATCAAGATAAGCTAGACCTACAAACTGATTAAGCTCATTAACCGAAGGACTAAAGTATAAAATGCCCCACATATGCCATAAACAGTTTTGAGCACACAGTGACCAGCTGGGATATCTCAGCTCTGCCATTCACAACTGTCTAGTTTTATGAAAATCACGACACTTCTCTGGGCCAGCTTCCTCATCCATGGAAGAAGAAAATGATGGCGAGATGTAAAGCATTTAGCGTACGCTGTGTGAGTGCTCAATTCGTGGCAGCAGCCGTTATGATTGCTGGTAGGAGAAAACCCTGACTCTGCCCTACCGTGTTTCCAAAGGGGAGAGAAGTTCTACCCCATGTCCCAGGAGAGAAGGTCATGAGAACACCTTCCACCTTCTCGGATCCTTCACTCAGCCCTGCCCAGGAGAGCAGGTGACTTACCCGATGGTTGCAATGGGGAGATAAAAGCGGTGTAGGGGTCTCATGTCGTTCTGAGTGCGTCCATCCCAGAGTGGTCTCTCAAGCACAGGCTCTGCTGCCTGGTGGAGGCTCTGGCTTTGGCCTCGTAAGGAGAGAAGACCCCAGCTGTGCTTTGTTATTCTGGGGTACAGAGTTCATTCAGTTCAAGAGGATGTATACACAAACTCTTTATGTTGCAGAACTTATGTATTGCTTCTTAAAGGTATGTGTTTGGATTTTTCAGGGAATTAATGTAGCCCGGTAGACTACTGTTCGTAGTGATTAGAATTGTTCTTTTAAATAGGAAATTCTGGAAGCATGTTAGTATTTTGGGCTTCTTTGACTTATCTAGGAAACTCTTCTCCAGGCACTGCACAAGAGAAAGATGATGTTATTGGCTTCCAAATGAACTGATCATCTCAGAAGCCCCTATGTAGGGTCGCTCTGAGGCCAAATCAACTCAATGACAGGTTTTTTAGTTATTTTTGGTTTATTTTCTTAGCAACAGAATAAGCTAGTATGATTATCATTTTAGTAAATAAACAGAAATATCATTCTCCATGTCTTCCCATTCTTTATAATCTTTAAAAATAAGAAAAAGTGACTATCAGATATTATTATTTAGACACTCTCATCGGCTAAACTAGGAATAACTGACATACATCGAATCAGGATGTTATAGCAGTAAGCAATTGTCTAAGAAATACAATTTCATGCGAACCTAAAATTCTTATTTTAATAAAAATATCTTCCAATAACCTGTAACATGCCTGGAAAGTTCATTAGTGTTTAACTCTAATGCCCATTTGCTGCCGTATTTAAAAATGGTCAGTTGTTCTATAAAAGGATAGAAAATACACGAAATGGATGAATATAAGCAACTACGTTAATCACTGATGACAAACAAGTTGTAGACAAGGGGTTCTCAACCTTCCTAATGTTGCAACCCTCTGATACACAGTTCCTCATGTTGTGGTGACCCGCCCCCCCAACCACAAAATTATTTTTGTTGCTACTTGATCACTGTCTTTTTGCTACTGTTATGAATCGTCATGTAAATATCTGATATGCAGGATGTATTTCCATTGTTACAAATTAAAGCATAGGGATTAATCACAAAAATAATATGTAATTATATATTGTGAATCATTTATTTCTAATTACAAATAAATGAAAGTGGATGCCAACGCAGAGGCTCTGTGGCGTTGACTAGAACCGCCCCTTTGGGTTTCTGAGGCTGTAGCCCTCCATGGGAGCAAGCAGCCTGACCTTCCTCCCGGGGAATCACTGGTGGGTTCAATGCTGACCTTGTCGTTAGCTGCCCAGTGCTTCTCCAACAGGGCCACCAGGGCTCTGTGATGGACCACAGCAAGTTCCAGGCTCCAGTGACAAGCCCAGCTGTGCAGAAAGGGCCCCTGATGTCTTTTCATCTGCCCTCAACCCAGGTCATGAGCTCCCCTTTCAGCGGGAGCCAGAAAGCGCGGTGCTGGTGCATGAAGCAGTTCAGTCACTGCTGAGCAAGGGCTTACATTTCCTCCCAGGCCCTACCCAAGCGCCTCTCTCCCACTGTTCCCTCCCCTCTGGGAGCAGGCCGCCTTCCCAGGAGGATCCCCTGTTCTTCTGGCCGGGCACAGGTGGGCAGGGCCGCAGGCCAGAGTCTGCTGTGGCTCACTTGGGGGCCCCGCCTGCCGGCGTCCCAGCAAAGATGAACTGGGCTGGCTTGGTGGTTCCTTAATCTCTGGCTTTCCCTCCCGGTCTGGATCCCATCCTTTCTGCTCCTCCGTCCTGGAGAATCCGGGCACAAGGAAAGAGACTCTGGACCCTGCTGAGCGAGGGACTGGCAGGCAGCCTGGCCACCCGCAGGGCCCCTAGTGTATCATGTGGGCATGGGCGCTTCCCCCTGGCCACATTCCCCAATGATCCAGGGAGCAGCGGGCAGAGAAGGAAAAGATCCCACCCTGGCACGGACCTCTTTAGACAATATTATAAATAAGACTAGGGATGGGAGGGAGGGGAGGACAAAAAAGAAAGAAAGATTTAACAAGTTATTGCTGGTTGCATTTCTTGAAATGGACTGTCAATAATCAATCTCATACATTAGCTCCTGGAGGAGTTCACTACGCTCCTGCCAAAACTCCCATCCTGGGGTTCTCAGCTGTAATTTTTCACATTGAATCACCAATTTGTAAACATTTTGCTCTGTGCTTGTTTTGTGCCCCCAGCCATGACAGAAGCAGGCTGGGACTCTCCACTGAAAGGCATGTAGGGGCAATCCCTATGGTGGATGTTCATGACCCGGGTGCTACCCGTCAAGTTACTTTAACCATGTCTGTAACTGTCTGGGTGACTTTAACCAGGGTTGTCTCTTCCACATGCTGCCTGAGCGCAAGTCAGACCCAGGTGCTCACTGCATCGTTGGCCCATGGAGTACAGCACGTAGCAGGAAACAGCAGGTGCTCAAGAAACCGCTGAAGGAATGGAGTATTCTAAGCAGTAACACTGCAGGCAACTAGGAAGGAACACAGTCACTGAGAGTAAACCGTGTAAAGGCCTCAGACCTTTTTAGGTCAGACACCATAAAAAGTGGAACGTGCATAGGTTTCAAAGGGGGACAGACCTGAACCTTAGCTCAGCTACTTTCTAGAAGTATCCTGTAATGCTCACCCACCTCAACCTGGTTTCTGAAGCATAAAATGGACAAGATGAAACTCACCTCTTTGATTTGCTGCTGACTACGACTCCCCAAGATAAAGAATCCGGCACTCCGCTACAGGGCCACAGTCAGTCTACCTGGGCACTAGCGACGGTCTTACCACTCCTTTCCCTAACCATCTCAGGCTACAGAGACACTGCTGGTTACCATATTCCTTGCTTGCTTCATGGGTTTTCAACTGTACTGAACATCTGACATGTATAGTACAACCACAGGGCATTTAATCAAGCATCACCATTCTTTCATAACCGCCAAAGACTATATAAAAGAAATGAGAAGAATTGTCCTGTAGTTTGACTATGGGCTAGACTTGAGAAAAAAAATAGCTATTTCAGATTTTCCTTTAGGAAAGCTTATAATCTAAATTTAGAAAATATGTATTTGGGTAGTTACGGGCCTTACAAAGCAAATTTTCGCTTTAAAAGTATTCCCTCTAAGTTGCTAAGCAAACTTACAAGGCCCCTAACACGAGACGCTCACTGCACAGCGCGCGTCAGGAAGTGTGCAGGCACACTGGCACCCAACCACTGTCAGCATTGTGAGGGCTCTTACCTTGTGTTCGAATGGAGCACCGTAGTAGCCATCATTCAGCCCAAAAATGACCTCATTTTGGTTGCGAGCATGAATCTAAGGGGAGAGGGAAGAGCAGAGCAGTCTTTAAGTTTTCTCATTCCGATGGAAACAGGACAGTTGAAGCAGGGCCTACTCACCACGGAGGAACAGGCTGGCTGCATCCAAGCAACAGAAAACAAGTCACAAAGCATAAGAGCAGGTGATCAAATGAGAATTTCCTGCTTCGGCCTGTTCAGGGCCATCAAGTCAATGCCGACTCACAGTGACCCTATAGGACGGGGCAGAACTGCCCCTGGGGATTTCTAAAACGGTAACTGTTTACAAGTGTAGAATGCCTCATCTTTCTCCAGAAGAGCAACTGCTGGTTTTGAACTGCTGGTTAGCAGCCCAACACATAACCAACCACTACGCCACCAGGGCTCCCTGCATCGGTCAAAGTCTTCACAAAACTATCACACCAGCTCAGCAGTTCTATCATGCACACAGCTTCCACAAACACGAACAATTCCAAGATTTACTATAGAACGGCTATTCTGAGTCAAAACAGGCTTCTGGGTGGATTTCTGAAGTAGAGACGATTCAGAGGCATATGAAACATCCCCCGACCACAAATGAAAACCATAAACAACATACAAGATTAACATTATGTCTTATTTTCAAAAGGATAGTACAGATATTAATGTGGACTTTGCCTACTACTAAACTGATTTAAGCATCAGTCAGTGCCATTCAAACTTCAAAACTGACTGCCACTGAGCCGATGCTGACTCAGAATGGGCCTACAGGACAGACCAGAACTGCTCCCACGGGTGTCTGACACCGTGGCTCTTCACCGGAGGAGAAAGCCTCCTCTGTCCCCTCAGAGCGACTGGTGGTCTCCAAGCGCCGACTGGTCGCTACTCCACCACAAACCACCTACAGTGCAGGGGAGTCCGAGTGGACGCAGGTCTCTGCTCTCCAGTCAAAGTCGGCAGGAGAGCCCTGTCTCTCCCATCTCCTCCAACTCTGACTAAGGCAAAATTAGTTGCATGATCCTTCACTTACTTGCATCATTTATTGAATTTAATACAACTAATAACAAAATACATATGCAATGATAAATTTCTAATGAAAACGAAAAGGTAACTGAAAACTATTTTATGAGGAGAGAAAGCATTATGAAAGCAGTTTCAAAATGAGAAGGAACCTGGAATTTTACAAACAGAGTGTTTTACATGTCTCTGAGGGAAGGGGGTAGTTAAACACATTAAAATGTTGACGGTGGTTGTTGGTGACCTATGAGATGATGCAAGTGTTTTCACTGTCTCCCAAATTTTTCCAAATTGTCTACAAGGAACATGTATTGCTTTTTAAGCTGGAGGCAAACAAAAGCGAAAACCGCTAGGACTGCAGAGGTATAAATGAAAGGCGCGCTAGGGCAGCGCTCTCCAATCTAAGCTTCATGAAGGTGGGTTGACGGGGTTTACTGAAAACTCGGACACAGCACGACAAGGGCTCCCTCCGGCACCTGGTGGCCTCGGAGCCTGGTTTTGTGGTTTTGGTTGGAGTTTGTGATCAATTAACTTGCCTTTACTGTTTTCTTTTGGAAGTAAGAGATCAAAGTAATTTTTATTGAAATGACTTAAGTAAGAGAATTCAACAAATTCATAAGAATGGTGAAGAACAGGCTTAAATTCGTTAAGATTATTATCATAATTTGTTAAGAGTTTCTTTAAAAGGAAACATTGAACTAATGAATTCATTTGCAATCTGAAGCCAGAAGATGACTGTTTGTTGAAGTGTAACTAGCCTCACTCTTTGAAGCCCCAGGGCAAAGGTGACATCAACTGTCCTGCTGTGCTATCACCAGCCAAAGTCTGATGACTGCTAACCACCAAAGCAGAAAGCAGTGCCTACCAAAGAAGTCGCGTGATATTTACTAACAGATACCCTGTAACTTAGTCACAAGATTACTACCGTTCCTTTTCCAATTTCTTAATGCATAACAAATCCCCTCCTTTCTGCATTCAGGGAGAGAGGTTGTTGTTGAATGGGATCCACCCTGTCTCCTTGAATTTTTTTTTAATCGTTTTATTAGGGACTCATACGACTCATCACAATCCATACATACATCAATTGGGTAAAGCACATTTGTACATTCATTGCCCTCATCATTCTCAAAACATTTGCTATCCACATAAGCCCCCGCATCAGGTCCCCATTTTCCCCCTCCCTTTCCGCTCCCCATCCCTCATGAGTCCTTGATAATTTAGAAATTATTATTTTGTCATATCTTGCCCTGTCCGACGTCTCGCTTCACCCACTTTTCTGTGGTCCGTCCCCCAGGAAGGAAGTCACATATAATTCCTTGTAATCGATTCCCCCTTTCCAACCCACTCTCCCTCTATCCTCCCAATTTCGCCACTCACACCACTGGTCCTGAAGGGATCATCCGCCCTGGATTCCCTGTGTTTTCAGTTCCTATCTGTACCAGTGTACATCCACTGGTCTAGCCAGACTTGCAAGGTAGAATTCGGATCATGATAGTGGGAGTGGGGAGGAAACATTTAGGAACTAGAGGAAAGTTGTATTTTTCATCGTTGCTACATTGCACCCTGTCTGGCCCCCGAGACCTCTCTGCAAGGGGATCTCCAGTGGCCCACAAATTTTCCTTGAATTTCATAGTCAATAAAAATCCCGCTCTTTCCCCTGCACCTGTCTCATGAATTGGTCTACGTGCAGCAGGTAGCCCAAATCACCCTCACTGCCAGGACAAAAAGATGCTGGACTAAAAATCAAGTGAGCTGGCCTCCAGCTCCAACTGTATTAGCTCTAGAGACAAAGAAACTCTGTCTTGGTTATCGTTATAATTCTAGTGTCTAGCTCGCTACACAACATTTAGTAACAAATCCCTGTTAATGGGCTCATTTTCCTTTAATGCCCCCATCAGTGAAATGCAGAAAACACACCTTGCTCTATATTACAGGGTGTGAAAAAGATGGAATTACGTAGCTGAATGTGAAAATACATTTGGAAGGTAGACTTCCGAAAACTATCAAGAAAAACTATAAAAACTATTAAAAAAGAAAGAGACAAACAAATAATTGTATCAAAACCCAGACTGCCAAGCAGCTCAGGGGCTAAGAATGAGAAAGGAAGCCCTGCTGAGCAAAACAGGTTGCATTCAGAATTCTCATTAGTTCAGCTGTAGGAAGTGTAGGTAGATGTGTACAAACCCTCACTCTTGACCTACAGATTGCCCGCCCCGCATCGTTCTGTGGTAATTCTAATATGCAAACTGTGCACTACAGTGCTCCATTCATCTAACCCAACCTTGCACATATTTTAATTCATGAAAATTTGCAAAAAATTTTAGACAGCTGATTAGAGTTAGTGGAGAAACCCACTGCAACTGAGTCAATCACAATTCACAGGGACTAGAGTCAATGGGAAAAATATATATATATATGGTCTGAACCATGGGGCAAATACTAGCGTGAGTTAGTGACCTTTAGTAAATCACTTAATCTCTCCAGGCTTCAGTTTTCTTACTTAAATATCAAAGAAATGACCAGTGCTTGCTCACAAGATCTTCAGAAGCCTCCTTACCATTGTATACCTCCCAAGAGATTCCATATCTCTATAAAGATACTCAATCAGTGAAGCAGAATCTAATTGCTGCTGTTATTAGTACAAAGTTCTAACCACTTGAGCTAAGCACAACTCTTCCTGCAATTAAAAGGAGTTAAGAACGCAGCAGGAACCAGAGGTCAGCAGCGAAAGATTAATATTTGTGGAGTAAATAATGTAATTTGATTCCATGCAAATTCCTCCAAAATAGAAGAGAGGTAAACACACCCTTTTTACAGGGGGTCGGGGGTGGGGGGGTGGGGGTGGTGGCAATAGCAAAACAAAAAACAAACCCACTGCCACAGAGTTGATTCAAACTCACTGAGGCAAAAGAAGAAAACCCTAACTCCTGACCATCAAGTTAATCCGAGGCTGTAAATCTTTACAGGGGCAGAAAACCTCATCTTTCTCCCACAGAGCAGCTGCTGGGTTCAAACTTCTGACCTTCCAGTCAGCAGCCCAGTACATAGCCCACGTTGCCACCAGGGCTCCTTATTATGACTCCATATAGGGTTTTCCAGACTGTAAATGTTTACAAGCTAGACAGCCTCATCTTTCTCTCAGGGACTGACTGGTGGGTTTGAAGTGCCAGCCTTGAGGTTAGCAGTCCATTTGCTGACAGCGCCACCATGGCTCCTTTTGGATGAGACCTGAAGGCTAAAATTCTGTTAAAGAATTTAATACATTAATTGTATTATTAATGATAGAAGGACATAAAGTCTTTAAATGTGGTAAGCAAGATGAGTACAGATTTTTTTTATCTGGGGGAAAAAAGAGAATTAAATTGCATCCTTGAAAGTAAATGTAGCAGAAAGTATGCTGTTGTTAAGTGCCATCAAGTGGTTCTGACTTCGAGCAACCCTACGTAGAACAAGAAGAAACACTGCCCGGTCCTACGCCATTCTCACAATCATTGTTTGGCCCATTATCGTAGCCACTGTGTCAATCATCTTGTTGTGGGCCTTCAAGCTTGGGTGAGGAGTGTCTAGATCTTAAATACTAGTGAGCACTCATCTAAGATGCAGCTATTGTTACCTCCTTGTCCAAGGAAAGGGTGGTAACAATGGAAACAGTTCAATGGATTAATGCACCATGCAAACATCAGTCTCCACATGCTGAGACCAGAAGAACTAGATGGTGCCCGGCTACCACCACCAATGGACTCTGAAGAAGATCACATTAGACAGTTCTGGATAAAGTGGGAGAAAAATGTGGAACAAAATTCAAAATCGTAAGAGAGATCAGGCTTACTGGTTGGACAAGGGCAGGTGGGACCCCTTGTGGTCTGGAACTGACCTCACACTGCAGAATCATCATCAATCATTTAAGAGGGAGGGGGGAAATGAGGAGCTGATACCAAGGGGTCCAGTAGAAAGCAAATGTCTTTAGAATGATGAGGGCAACAAATGTACAAATGTGCTTGACACACATGGATGGATGGATGGATTGAGATAAAAGTTGTATGAGCCCCCAAAAGATGATTTTTTAAAAAGGGGGGGCAGCATTTACTCGGTGACAAAGTCTGGAGGGCAGGGAAGAAGGGCGCGTGGAAACAAGCACAAGGAGAAAGCAGGATGCATGTTGATACAGCGAGGAGACTGCAATGGAGCTGAAGCAGAATGTCTTGTGAGGTTTTGAGTATGACAGTGATGATCTACTCTGTAAGCTTTCACATAATTCACAATGAAAATGAAAATGAAACCCTAGGAAGCGGCTCTACTCTAACAGGTCAAGTCGAATTGCCACAAGGACAATCATTTAGGGCCTGGGGCGTTGTTTGTTTTGTGGTTGTCTTGGGTCACAGGTACGGGAATGGTGAAGAATGGGTGGCAATGTAGATAATCCAGGAGCATTTGCTATTCCTCTGCTCGGGAAATATATTTATTCTCCTTCCTAGAATAACTGTTCTCCTGGACAAAAAGAAGAGCAGTACTGAAGAGCGGTCCTTACTGGCAACTGAATTTTCAGATCCTAGAGGACAAAACACAGTCAGATGGAGAAGCAGCACAACACTATGAGAAAGCATATCTTTGCCTACAAGGAAAAAGAAAGGGGGAGGGGAGACTATCTTAAAGAATTAGTAGCTTATGGTCTTTTTCCTCAAGTTTCTATAGTTTAGGGTAATTTTTTTAAAGTCATTTTATTGGGGGCGCGTACAACTCTTATCACAATCCATCCATCCATCCATTGTGTCAGGCACATTTGTACATTTGTTGCCATCATCATTCTCAAGACATTTCCTTTCTACTTGAGCCCTTGATATCAGCTCCTCATTTTCCCCCTCCCTCCCTGCTCCCCCCTCCCCCGTGAACTCTTGATAATCTATAAATTATTATTATTTTGTCATATCTTTCACCATCCAACGTCTCCCTTCACCCACTTCTCTGCTGTCTGTCAGCTTAGGGTAATTTTTTAAACTTGGTGATATCTCCATTTTTTGCAATCAAGTAAACAAATAAATAATGGTTCTCTATGATAGGAAATGTCAAAATCATCAATAGAAAAGCCAGGTCAAAATCATCAATAGCTATGACAGCTGCTTATAAATTGAAAATTACCTGCTGACCCAAGTATTTCAGCCCATCCAAGCAGACTTTCCATTCAATCAACAGCTGGTAGACATCTTCCTTCCCACCCCATATCCGCACCACAAAACGAGACACCGACGTATCAAGATGGTCTGGCATTATTCCAAAATCAAGACTCCGCCACGTTGGATTCTGGGGATGGAAAGGAAACCATGAGTTAGAAAGGCTCTAATTTGTTTACAGTTATTCAATTAGACCGTAAGTCACTTGTTTATAAAGACCATATGACCTCACATATACATTATACTACAAACGTAGTGAGCCAAGAAGATATTCCAGTTAACACAGAGAGTGATAACGGTAACTTTTGAACTTCGCTGCTTATATTAGAGCCATTAGGAAGAGTGTACATTCTGATCTTTCATTAATATGATTTCATATGGTAAAACATTTGTATTCAACACATGTTACAAGCTAATATGTTGACACTGCCTTCAAAGAGTCTCCAACTTATTATCTGGTTCAAACCTCTATTTAAATACGTGGTCTCATGAAAAGTTAAGTAAGAGAATTATGCACAAGGTTAAAGAATGCACGGGAATGGGGGAGATACCACAAAGACGGTGACGGAGTAGGATTTCATTAGATCAATGTAAGGAAGTCTGACAAAGAAGACTCTGTAGGCAAAGCTGGAGCGAGATACATAGAATTAAACTGAGCAGATCTCACACGACTTGCCAAGGAGCCGGTACTTTATTCTGTTCAAGATGTGAGGCCTTTTGGTGGATTTGATGTTAAAATGACAATCTCAGTTTTATGCTTTGGAAAAAACCTTATTTCTCATTAAAATAATCATCTAAATTGCATTCTCTGAAAAGTCAAGATGCTTGGGAACGTTAATAACATCTGTAAAAGTGAACTGCAGTGCATCCACTACTCACTTTCACCTCGTTCCCTTATGAAAGGTTACTGCTTTCCTTCTAAATCTAAACTAGCAGCTTCCATAGTGTGTCAATCAGAGGATCCTCGTAGAGAGAACAGTTGCTGCTCTGGGTAGCAGCTCTATTCCTGACCAAAGGAAGATGGAGTGGTGCTGGTTTTCTAGGGGACACAAAACTTGCTGCTATGATTTTGTGGACTTGGTTGTTGACATTTGAGGGGAAGGGGAGACATAGATGACTCCCAGCTTCATAGGCCTTAAAATGATCTGTCATTTTTATTTATGTGCTGATATTTTTATGTATGATTCCATGCTACTAAAATAAAAGATCTGATAGAGCAAGAATATAGCCTGAATTGTTTACACTAGGTCCCCAAAACTTAAAAAGCTGGTAAATGTGAATGAGTGAATGAATGCTCAATTAACTGATAGGGATGTTTGGGGACACTGGGAAAAGATCAGTATACAGCACAATGATAATAGTAAGCATATTCATGCAATCAGTTTTATACTGGATCCCACAAAAAGCAAATTCCAGCCACCCAAGACTTCACTCCAAGATCAAGGCTACTGCTAGGTGCTCTCCAGTCAGTTCCCACTCACAGCGATCCCGTGTCCCACAGAATGAGAAGCAGTGCCCAGGCCCGCGACACCCTCACAATCATCCCAACGTTTGAGCCAGCTGTTGCCACTATCGCCCTAAAGAATTTTTTGTAGGGCAGATCTGCATGTTACTACAACACCTTCCTCTTTTGCAATGGCCCTCTATTTTACCAAGCATGTACCTAAGACTCACCACTCCTGCTTCTAAGAAGCAGTGTGCACTTCATCCAACACAGATTGTTTTTATTCTTCAGAAAGTCCATGATACATTTAATATCTTTGCCAACACCACAATGCAAAGATATAATCCAGTCTTTCTATCCATTATCTATTTTTCACATGCGTGTGAGACACATGGAACTTGAGACACCACCTTAAACAAGCAACAAGCATTAGCCTCACCGACATTGGGACAACTGAGCATTGTGTGGCCATCATACAAAGCACAGCAAGGGACAAATCACTTGGATGGTAACCTGAATCGAATCATAAGGAAACATCAGACAAAGTAGAGGAACTTTTTTTTAATCTTTGAGGACATTTTTAGTTTCTTTTTTAAAAATACTTTCATTAGGGGCTCTTACTTGCACATATGCTGCCATCATCATTTTCAAAGCATTCTCTTCCCACTGGAGCCCCTGATTATCAGCTCCCTATTTCTTCTCCCTCCCTCCCCCGCCCACCCTCACAAACCCTTGATAAGTTATAGATTATTACTTCCTTATCTTACATCATCCTCCATCGCCCCTCACCCACTTTTCTGTTATTCGTCCCCCTGGAAGGGAGTTCTAGACTGATCCTTATGATTGATTCCCCTTGTCTCCCCCAACCATCCCCTAATCCTACTGGTACTTGTACTCTCATTGTTCGTCCTAAGGGCTTTATCTATCTTGGATTCCCTGTGTTTCAGGCTCTTCTCTGTAGCAGTGTGCATGCTCTGATCTAATACGATTTGTAAGGTAGTATTGAGGTCATGATAGTGGGGTGAAGGAAGCACCAAAGAGCTAGAGGAAAGTTGTGTGTTTCATCGGTGCTATACTGCACCCTGACTGGTTCATCTCTTCCCTGTGACCCCTCTGTGAGGGGATGTCCATTGTCTACAGATGGGCATTGGGTCTCCACTACATGGCCCCTCCACGCCCACCCCCCTTCAGCTTGGTATGGTTTGTTCTGGGTCTTAGATGCCTGATACCTGATCCCATTCTTCCATGTGGGCTTTGTTGCTTCTGAGCTAGGTGGCCACTTGTTTACCTTCAAGCCTTTAAGACCCCAGATACTATATCTTTTGATAGCCGGGCACTGTCAGCTTTCTTCGCATTTGCTTATACACCCATTTTGTCTTCAGCATTCGTGTCGGAAGGTGAGCATCACAGAATGCCGGATTGTTAGAACAAAGTGTTCTTGTGTTAAGGGAATACTTGAGTCGAAATCCAATGTCCATCTGCAACCTTAATTCTTAACATCTAGATATGAGTACATAGTTCTATCCCCTGTCATTATATGTGTATCTACATATGTACATGCCTGTATTTAGGCCTCTATAAATGTCCTTTGCTTCCTGGTTCCTTCCCCTTTTCCTTTTACTTTCTAGAGGGGCATTTTACAGAACTGGCCCACAGAGTTTAACATTGCCAAAGTCCAGGCTCGCACACAAGAAGGCTAAAGAACTGTTCCAGATGGAAGGAGAATGGAGACATGACGGCTGAAAACAGGCGTGATTCTGGATTGGGTTCTAGATAAATGTCAATATTTGAATAAGAACTGTAGGTTAGATAATAGCATCCTATCAGTGTTAACCCAAAAAGTCAAACCCACTGCTGGTGAGTTCATGCCACCTAATTTTGGTTGGGCTGCTACCCACAAGGTCAGCAGTGCCAACCCACTCGCCACCCTGCAGGGGAGTCTGAGGCTGCCTGCCCGTGAGAAGAGTTAGTCTCAGAAACCCGCAGGGTGAAAGGTCCCGCTCTGTACCATAGGGCTCCTTTCAGCCGGAATTGGCTCAATGGCAGCAAATTTAGTTTTATCTTGCTCTATTTTTTAAATAAACTTTTCCTTGTGAATGAGGTGAAGGTTTACAGAGCAGATCCTAGTTTGACATCCAACAATTCATTCATACACACTAATTCAACTCACCCACTGCAAACCCCTGATGTACCGATCACTTAGCCCACCTCCTCCCTGCTCTTTGTTTTCGTTCTTCCTTTCCTAACCTGCTGAACTTGGTCCTGGGATAAATGCTGTTTTGGTTTTTTTTAATCTGAAATGGCTGATTGTTCTAACACAGACATGGGTTCCATTCCAGAGCTGAAAGGCAAGGGCCACAGTCTTCGGGGTACCACAAGTCTCTAGCTGACCAGCAAACCTGGTCTCTTTTAGGATTGGGAGTTCTAATCCACACTCTCCACCCACTCTATCCAGGGCTTTCTATGGCGATCCTTTCCAGAGCAGTTGGTAGTGGTAGCCTGGCACTGTCTCATTCTTCTGGTCTCAGGGCCATGGAGACTAATGTTGAGGTGATCCGGTATTCCACGGGACTAATGATTTCCACATTTCCATCGCTCTACTTTCCTCTCAACAGGGAGAGACCATACGTTGCACCTTAGAAGGCTGCTCATGAGCTTTTTTTGTTTGCTCATGAGCTTTTAAGACCTCCGTTCCCACTCACTAAATTAGGCTGTAGAGCACTGTCTTTGAGAACTACATTGTGCCAATCAATCTTGTGGTCCCCCGACTATGGTCCTGATATCTCCGGGTCCACCGACTCAGTCCCTCCAGGTGCTCTGTCAGGCCTAACAAGTTTTCGTATACTCGGAGTGGGAGAGCTCTTGCCTTCCAGGCGGGAGCCGTGGGTTTGATTCCCAGCCAAGGCATTCCCAAGCACAGCCATCACCCATCTGTCAGTGCTTGTTTGAATCGTGCTGTGATACTAAATACGTTTCAGAGAAGCTTCCAGGCTAAGACACCCTCGGAAGACAGGCCTGGTAGGAAGAAAGGCCAAAAATTGGTCAATGAAAACGCGATGGGAAAAAAGAGAAAGAAAACCCTATGGGTGAGAACAGAGTATCGTCCTATATAGTGCTGGCAGAGAAGGCTCCTGGTGGGACGGCAACAGCCATGGGCACGGCCGGAAGCAGGCACAGTTTTTTTCCTTCTAATTGCGCACGGAATCACCATGAGTTGGATCTAATTCGATGTCGACCAACAACCACACGTAAGAACGGGGAGGGCAGGACACCAAAGCCGGCATGACACCAGGAGAGGCTCCAACAGCAGCTTTTCACGAGCCGGGATGTTTCCTTCGCCTTCAATAACATCACAGGGGAGCCACCAACCTCACTGCCATCACGTCGACAGCAGCTTGGCCAGCCTCCAAGCCAGGGTGGAACCGCCCCTGTGCATTTCCATCCGAGACTGTCATGGGAGCTACGCCTTTCTCCCAAGGAGCACCCGGCAGGCCAATGGGTAACCACGACGCCACCAGGGATCCCGTCACATGAAAAGGTATCCACTCATTTTCTCCTCGTTGCGCCCTTTGGGTCCTTCAACGACAGTCCCTGTGCTCTATAATATGAGGTGGAATCATCTCGAACCCTCGTGCTCAGAGTGGCAAAGCAGTGGAAACGGGAGGAAATGGTGGTGGCCCTTGTGC